CAGATGCTCGCACTACAGCAGGCGAGCGCGAACAAAAACAAATAGAGACCGAGCGCGGGTGGCGACCGGACAGCGAAAATGGCAAGGCGACCGACCACAGCTCGGCTCAGAAGCCGAAGATCACGAGCCTGAGCACACCAGTGGCCTCGATCTCCTGGAAGAGACACGCCACGTCTCCGTCAAAGCGAAAGCCAACGCGGGAGAACAGCACAGCCGTCGTCAACCACTATACTGCGAACCTCACAGCGTAAGCGCACCGTGTAAGCGCAAGCGGGCCTGGGAGTGCAACGTAGCCCCATCCTCCCAGGTGCCCCAATTCGGCAGAACAGCTCGTCAGGGGAGCCTCGGCCAACGGGAGGCGGTGAGCTTCCGTCGCGACACCGATCACATAATACCACCATATCTCGAGCCCCCACAGCCCTGCGGGGGGGCGCCGCAGGACGGGCGGGCCAGGGCAGCTCGATGAACCACCTGGCCCGCTCGCCCCAGGGGGAGCGCTGATGGCCAGGGGCGCGCTGTAAATGGGGCCGCGGGAGGCGGCCGGGACAGTCGAACTGGGATGCTTCTTGTCAGCAGGCCTCGACGCTCGACGGCGGATGGGGATGCGCGAGGCTCGGTTCTTCAGAATCTTACTGCCGAGTAGGTTCGTCGGAACCCAGAGAGATGTCGTCGTGCGGTTAAGGAGGCTCTCGGGTAGCTCAGATTCTGCGCGGTGGTGGCCCGTGCGCAGATCCGAGGTGGTCGCTACTTCGCCATCGAAGCTCCGACGGCGGCGAGATCCCAAGATTGCGCGTCCATCATCAGCCTGTGCGTGACAGCGGGCGCCCACCGCGTGCCAGTCAGTGGATGACGAGCGAGCCTGAAGGATCTGGGCACGACGAAGCTGAGGCCGAAGAAGTGGTGCTTCGCGATACCCGGACATGCTCAAGTGGGATTTGTCGGCGCCGTCGGCCGAGCTCGATATCAAGGATCTGCCAGGCAGGTCCGAGGGCGTGAAGGTGAAAGCTCTCAACATCGCGTGTCCAAGCAACGGTCTCCAGGCGATGGTCCCTCTCTTCGCGCTGGAGACTGGCAAGGTGCGCTGAGGGGGCTCTTCGAGTCCAGATGATGCGAGCCTCACGGTGCCCCCAGAATCCTCAAGTGTGACGCTGGACGGGCGAATCTGGGCCAAGACGTCATCGGTCCCTTCGAGAAGATGGGCATTGGGTTCTCCGATGCAGCTGGGGAGGCTCACGAGCAAGTTGGCCATGCTGAGCGGCGCGACGCAAGGTTCGACGATATTCTCAACCAGGTGTTGGTCCATGGGCTCTCTCTGTATCAGATTGCGCTTGGCGCATCCTGGGGCCCCAACGGACCTGGTGCAGAAATCCCAGGAGATGGAGACATGGCAGCAGCGTGCACGCCAGGTTGTTCTCGAATAAATGGAAGATCGCGCGGACATGTTGGCGCTAGGTAGCCCGCCGCGAGTCACCCAATCACTCCAGCCTGGCGATCGTGTCGCGAACTAGAGGCCTGGACGCGGCATCCCAGGCAAGAAGGCTCATGCCCGTTGTCGGCTGTCATCCTGTGCCGCGCGCGAGGCAACACTGAGTCGCCATACCAGGCGCGGTGATCAAGGCGTCGCTGGAGCAGCTCCGGCGCGCCACCGAGAAGGCAAAGCTGGCCGCAGAGACAGTCCAGCCCGACCTGCGCGCCATGGCGAATGACCTCATGAACGCTAACGGACACCGTCGGTGATTCATGCACATCACGATGGACGAACGACCCCTGGCGCTGAGGAAGACAACTCTGCGTCTGACTCCTTGGGAGCGTCAGCTCAGGACGCCCCCGTGCAAGAGACCGGCAACGCCAGGAGGTGCCGACTGAACCCGATGGAGACTCCGAAGCACGTGATGGGTACGCGGCGCTGCCCTACACGACGGCACTGGACTGGAGGAGCTGGAGCTGCTGGACGACATGACTGGCGTCATCGACTGCCCGGGGATTCCTCCCCAGCCCCAGTCAGTCCGATTCGGGCACGTGGAGTATCGTCTCTACCAAGCCGCCCGATGAACAAGAGTTCGACCGAGAACCTGTTCGAGCACGGCAATCAGCTGCTGGCGGACTTCGAGGATCAGAGGCGACAGTTCGTGAGGACCATGATGGAGTTCAGGGCGTCGAAAGACTGCCTCCTCGGGTCCATCGCCAAGGGCATGGATGAGGATGAGGCCGAGCCAGAGGCCAAAGCCGATGCCTCGTCCGCGTCGCCTGCCGCGAAGCCAAGCCGCCGATCCAAGTAAGCAGTGAGCCATCCTGGCCCGTGCCAGGCCAAGCCAGCATCAATGACGTCCAGTGTTTGTTTTCGACCAGTGCTGATCAGAAGGTCCTCTTGGAGTCAACGGTCCCGTTTTGGATAGTCTGACTATGCGTAGCATGTGTGCTTTGCGTGTTGTGGCTGCAGCCACTCTGGCCTGCCTCAGGCGAGGAACAGGCGGGGTGCGGGGCCCTCATCCGAAGCCAGTCTGCAAGATGGAACCGATTCCAGGCCAACTGCTGTTTCAATTTAACTGTGTACCCGAAGGCAACTTCCTGATGTCTCGGCCCCGTCCTCCCTGCAGACACACCCGATGTCAATGCAGGACGCGCATCTTCCGTAAACTCGTCGCTCGGTGCCTGCCGCGGACGGACCTGCACCTCATTCTCACCCGCTGTGGCCCCAGCCGGCGGATGGCGCTTCCTGATTCCTGGGTGCGCCTCGCTAGAACGGCAACTCTTGATTCCTGGGCGCAGCTCGCTAGTTACAGGGGCCACCCTTCCCGTGGTCCTAGCTCGGAGATGGCGTCTCTTGGTTCCTGGGTGCCGCTCGCCAGCAGCACGACCCGCCCCCGTGGCCCCAGCCCGAGGATGGCTTCTCTTGGTTCCTGGTGCCCTTGGCCAGGGGGGCCCACTCTCCCCCTCGGCCCCAGTCTGGAGGTGGCGATTCCTGGGTGCCGCTCGCCACGGACCCACCTGCCCCCAAGATCCCAGCCTGAAGCCCCACAGAAGCCGCCCAGAAGCCTCTCAGACGCCTCTTAGAAGCCGCTCGACAGCCTAGTTGAGATCTGGCCCGCCCTGTTGGTCTTAACCGTTGGAATCAGCACCGCCCTGCGGGGATCTCACCCGACTGGTTGAGATCTGACCGCATCTCCCAGAGATGGCGACCGCTGATTCCTGGGTGCCGCTCTGCACAGGAAACCGCCCACCCTCATGGCCCGGCCCAGAGAGGGCAACCCTTGACTCCTGGTTGCCGCTCGCCACGGGGACCCACCTGCCCGCATGGCCCTGGACCTGAGATGGAGACCTTCGATTCCTGGGTGCCGACGGCCACGGGGACCCACCCGCCCCCAGCGCCCGGACCTGGACATGACGGCCCTTCCTGGTGCCGCCATGTCCAAGTTCGGGGCCCACCCGCCCCCGAGGACCCAGCCCGGAGATGGCGACCATTGGTTCCTGTGGGTACCGCTCGCCACGGGGACCAACCCGCCCCTGTGGCCCCAGCCTGGAGATGGCGATTCCTGGGTGCCGCTCGCGACGGGAACCCATCTGCCCCGGGGACCCCAGCCTGAAGATGGCGTCTCTTAATTCTGGGGCGCCGCTCGCCATCATGACCCACATCCTTGAAATGCCCATGACAAGGCAGGCGAGTTGTACTTCTTGGCCAGTTGGTAAAGTGAGCGCGCTGAGCCTAAGATTACCCACGTCCCCTCGTGTGTAAACTGTGACGTTCACCCATTTGGTGTAATTCAGCGCGCGGGGCGCCCACGAGCGCCCACGAGATGTGTACGGGCGGCAACGTGGCGCGACCTGGCGCCCGCGCGCACACGAGGCGGCACGGGCTGCGGACCCACCCACCGCAAGGGGCGCCAACAAGACGGCACGGGAGACAACGTGGCGCAGCCTCAGCGGAGCCACCCAACACACGGGGTGCCCACGAGCGCACACGAGGCGGCAACGTGGCGCAACCTCGGCGGATCCACTCAGCGTGCGGGGGGGGCACCGGGGCGACACGAGGCGGCAACGTTCTTGAAAATCCTCGGAAGACCACTCTCGTTACTCAAGAAACTCAAGCCATAACCGCCACATGCAAGTACTGCTTTCCCGAATAGCTCACTGAGAGCCAAGAGGGCTTCATATTACAAACTGGCACCGCAGGGTTGCTCCCCCGGAGCTCGTTCCGGCTTGCGAGAAATTGCACCAAAGAAAAAACCAATCAGCGCATGGTTTGGAAATTCGTGATCTGGATATTGAGGTAGCTTGTGATGTCGATAGTAAAACCAGTCGTGGGATCGATATTAAGGACGATCGTAAGGTCACTCGTGAAATCCATTCAATGAGATCGATGGTGAGATCAATCGTGAGATCGCCCTTGCGATCTATCATGGGGTCGACTGAGATCAATAGAGAGATGGGTGGTGAGATCGAGTTTGAAACCGATCGAACAAAAAATCAACCAAGAACCCGGGAACCCGGAAACCCGGGAACCCCGCCGCCCACCGAATCGGTCCCGAACCAACAGCCGAAAACCTGGGAACCCAGAGCCGGGATACCCGGAACCAGGCCGCCTACCGAAACCGGTCCGGTCCATTTGCCAAATCTTTCAATCTCCGCTAGGACTCCTTCATTGTAAGCGCTGATTGGGAAAAGAATGTCGCAACGGGCTGTGAAGTTGCAGCGAGTCCCGGGAGGCCTCTTTTAACTGTTTCCCAATACATGTGCCGCAAACCTTTCCAGAAGCTCCGTCGGAGGCTCCTTCCCATGAGCTTTGAGAGCTCCTTCCAGAAACTTTGGGAAGCCTGTCTGGCTCTCTGCTATCCGGGTTTTGGACGCCGTAAGCAGGAATTAAAGAAATTAACGCTAATCTCAAGAGCGAGGACGAGTGACAGGACGAGGCGATGGACTAGGGGGGAAGAGGATGAAGCCGAGAACAGAGAGAACGACGCAGAGCAAGACCACGAGGACGACGGCGACGATGACAACTGGGCCTGCCGTCCGCGTCCAGGACCTCGAGGCTCTCGGGCTCGCCCGTGAGCGGTAGCGTGAACGAGAGCTCGGACCCGTTGACAACCATCTGCGGGACGGAGGGTGAGGAGGGGAGGTGGTGGACAGGTGAGCGGGGGGGAAGACTGCCTCCTCCTCCGCCTCTCCCCCCTTCTCCTCCTCCTCCTCCTCCTCCTCCTCCTCCTCGTCCTCCTCCTCACACCACGTCCACCTTCGCATCCCCATCAATTCCTTCTCCTTATAGATAACTCTGCCCTGTCGCACCACGAGGCCCGTTCTTAGGGCAGGCCGGGCGTTTCGCCTGAGACCTCCTCACAATTTATAATGCTGGAGCATAAAAAAGGACAACGGCTTCACGGATGGAGGGCGGGTCGCTTTCAAAATGTGGCTCTCGCCGTAACGCCGCGCACTTTCGTATGACAAAAACTGGAAGAGCTGCACGGATTGGGGGCGGGTGGATTTCAACATGTGGCTCTCGCATTCGCGCCGCGCGCATTCGTTTGACAACAGTTGCAAGAGTTTCACGGATTTAGGGCGCTTGGATTTCAAAATGTGGCTCTCGCCTGAGCGCCGCGCACATTCGTTAAGCAAATGCAAAAGCTGCCCGGATTGAGGGCGGGTCGTTTTCAAAATGTGGCTCTCGCCTGAGGGCCGCGCACATTCGTTAAACACATTGCAAGAGCTTCACGGATTGAGGGGGGGACGTGTTCAACATGTGGCTCTCGCCTTAGCACCGCGCGCATGAATTTCACAAACATTGCCAGAGTTTCACGGGTTGAGGGCGGGTCGTTTGAAAAATGTGGCTCTCGCATTCGCGCCGCGCACGTTCGTTTAAACATTTGCAAGAGCTTCACGGATTAAGGGCGGGTCGATTTCAAAATGTGGCTCTCGCCTGAGGGCCGCACGTTTTACAGTTGCAAGAGCTTCGCGGTTGAGGGCGCGTCGTTTTCAAAATGCGGCTCTCGCCTTAGCTCCGCGCACATTCGTTAAACAAATTGCAAGAGCTTCACGGATTGAGGGCGGGTCGTTTTCAAAAGGTGGCTCTCACCGTAGCGCCGCGCGCAGTCGATTGTTTGGTTGCTTGGTTATCTGAAACAACAGTTTAAATACAAAAGGGTCTCACGGATTCCCATGATCAACGCACCAGACATGATGTCGTGGAAGGGTTCAGGATTATGCGGGCCCAACAGTTATGTCGATTCGCCGTGTTAAAGTCCCAAACCATGGCTTTCTGGCAAGATTCTGGATCGTCAAAACGCAGCAGTCAGGTTGATACGTGGCGTTGAAAGCCTGGGAACAATGTGTTGGCACGCTTCAAAATCTTCAAACTGATGCTTTCCAACGGGGCCGTTCCCTCAATGGAAGTGAGCCGTTGTGGGGGCATGTGAACAGGGAGCTTGGAGAGAGGGTTAATTCCAACATCGTTGATGACTCGTGGGTTTCCACTGGTCCTCCCCCTCCGCCTCCACTCATTCCGTTCTTCCTCATCCTCCTGTTACTCATGCTCCTCCTCCTCCTTCCCGTGGAGGACGAGGTCAGAGAGGATGGAGGTTAGGAGGACAAGCTAGGTGCGCTCGAGCCGCATCTGGCATTGTACCTCCCCAGGACATCCCTTCCCAGTGCGCTGAATCATGTTGTATCCGCCAATTGCTATGCCCTAGATTTCCTAGATTGCATCGCCCCCCCCAAACAAACCATGGTGTGATGCGCAAACACAGGGGGGCGCGCTGTAGATTGGATAAGGAGGTCGCGGATGAGCACGATCAGCAGGATGATCAGCAGGAGGAAGACGAGGAGAAGGGTGAGCAAAGATGAGAAGGGGCAGAAGCAGCAGCAGCAGCAGCAACAGCAGCAACAGTAGGAGCAGGAGGATCAGGGAAATGCGGAGGAGGCGCCAGAAAGGGGGTCGGCAACGACGAGGATGGAATCGGATACCCACAGCTGGGCTCGCGAGAGGGAGAGCGCGCCATTCGGAACGGCGGGAGCAAAGCATCGATCCTGAAATGTGGCAGTCGGAATGCCACCTGGAGGGGCCGAGAGCGCAGCGGTAGGGAACAAACAGACCCCTAGAAAAAAACGCGCTTCAAACTCCGACCCGTGGAGAAATCGATACGCTAGACAGGTGTCCCTTGCACTAGACAGTACCAGGGAAACCAGGCAGGGCCAAGGGGGACCGCCAGTATGGGGTCGTCACACCCTTCGAGGAGAAGGATCCCCCCGAAGGACCCTCCAACCCTTCAGAACCGCAAACGCCCAAGATGCTACAACCACCTCCAGTTCCGTTGGCCCTCGAACATCGATGCTCAGAAGCAGCCGGCGAGCCCCCAGGTGGTGCCCCCCCGTGTTGCATCACCCACTCCTTCTCCCCCCTGCCTCCTCCCCGCGTCGTTTGGAGGAGGGGCGGAGGAGCCCTGGCAATCCAGAACCATTTTGAAGGGGCAGGCGTCCGCGACACGCCCACCCCCTTGAGATGACCAGAGACGTAGCCAACCTTCCCACGACGGGTGGCAATCGCAGGGGAAATGATGTGCCGTCTTGATCCGCCTACGGCGTAGCACGGCTGGGGCCTGGGAGGTGGTGGCAACTCCGCGTTCGGCAACGTCGGAGGCGATGTCCCCTCCCAGGGGATCATGCCAGGACGGGGCGGCAATTTCACGCTTGGCAACGCCCAACGAATCGAGTAGGTGGGCAGGAGAAGGGGAGAGTGACGGAAAAAGAGGGAGGGCTGACGGAGGGAACACGCATGGGAAAGGCAAGGGTGGTGGAAAGAAAGAGACGAGCGGGCATATTAGATACAAAGGAAGAGATGGGGGCAGAGGGGTGGGGAGAAGAAGGAGGAAGGGGATGAGGGGAGAAGGAGGAACAGGAGAGAAGCCCCCCGATCCGCCAAAACTAAGGAAGGGCTATTGACTATTCAGCTGTCGGTTTGTTTTGCGAGGGCTTCGGAACCCCAACTGCCTAGCCTGTGGAGACCAGGGCACATGCTGACATAGGTTCTAGAGTTGTCCTCTGCACGCCGAATTTCGGCGTATCCCCTCTTTCTCCTGCTCCTCCTCCTGCATCCTTTCCTCCGTCTCCTCTTGCCTCGCTGCCCGTCTTGTGCTTCACAGTCGGGCGCTTCACCTTCTGCTTCGCAATCGGGCGCTCCGTATCTTGCTTCACAGTCGTGAGGCGCTCACAATTTCCGATTCACACTTTGCAATTCACGAAGGGTTGCCAATCGCACGATCTTCTGCCCACGCGTCCTTCCGGATGCGTGGCTCTGTGGTGGTGGTGCTGGCGGTATGCTGCTGAGCGTTACCTTGCTCGCCAGATCGTCGAGCTTACAGAGCGCACGGTTGACCAATCTTGTGGACCAAATTCTGACTCCAAGATCCCGCTTGGTGGTCTCCCATGCCGAGTCCTGAAGAGCGCGTGGTGGGGACGGTCCGCTCGATTGCCTTCCTCTTCGATATATGGCTGGAGACTGTGCTCGTTTGGTCATTGGTTGAAGATGGTGGCTCGTCTGCACGGCCCGTTGCCAACGCTGGTACAGATGGTGCATTTGGCCGACCCTGCAAAACTTGTACCAAACAACCATGCTGTCTCTTTCGGGCGCATCTTGTATGTGCGCCAGCTTCCGCCGGTCTTCCGCCGGCTTCTCCGCTAGCGGAGCCGCCCCCGTTTTGCTTCCGCCGCCTTCCGCCGCACCCCTCCGAAGAACGGATGCTAACCTCTTCGCCCATCGAGGGCGAGGCCATTTCTGGAGCGCCCGACATGGGCGCACAGCCTAACTTTCACACAGATTTGAAAGTCCTGGATGGGCACCTGGAGGCACGGGGTCGGCGCTTGCACTGAGGCTAACAGCCCAATGCCTTTCTTGTGGAGGGAGGTTTATAGGCTCTTGCTGGACGTTGGGGTGGACCCTGTGGATGCGCCCCATCTGACAGCTCAAAAACCTGTTTCCACAGCTGCCGACGCAGTGAGTCGGAGCGGCAGCGCTTCAGCACTGTAAGAGCTGACGAGTCTGTCAAGCTGGGTGCCCGGATGCACCCGATCGCTCCTTCCTCCCTCTCGGCCACGTGATTTGCGCAAGCTGCCTCGCGAATCGCCTAGACAATCCCGCAGGATGCCCAGCCAGACGCGGTGGGGAGAGCGATCGGATCCATCGAGGGTGGTCTCGGCCCGCCTTTGGCCTGATTCGCTCGGGTGCATGAAATGTCTGCGATCGGCGAAGCCCAGTGCGACTATGCGTCGATTCAGATACCCTGAGTGTGGTGGGCAGCACGCGCTCAAACGTGCTGGCCCTGTTTGCGTCTGCTCGTTGTGCGGGGCCCACGCTGATCAGCACGCTTGCGGCCTCTCGGACGATTAGTCTTCCGCATCGGCGTAAATTTGGTGGAATGGTCAAACGTTCGAGGTACTACCGCCTCCAGACTTTGATGAGAAGCTGCCACCCCAAGACTGGACACTGCTTGGGACTTCATGCGTTGCTGCGAGCTGCGAGCAATGAAGCCGCATCAGACGGCAGCGTTGCCGCCGCTCCCTCCCCTCAAGACCTCTTCGGTAGGGAGTGAAGGGGATAACGGGGTGGACGGGACAAGAGTCATGTTAACTTCGTGATCCCCAAGCTTACTCGAGGTCGCGAGCTTCCCAGAAGCAAGCGCCGTGGGGGACCCTGATTGAGTCAACGTCGTTGGCGGTGCTCTTCAAACCTCTGGTCTCTACGCGGGCGTTGGCTTCTTGTCAGAACAGAACCTCGGGTCCGTCCTCCCCCCCTCCCCCTCCCTCCTCTCCCTCCCCCTCTCTCCCATTCAAGCGGAGCTGCACGAGGACTGGTCGCCCAGTAGCACGAGGAGAAAACAGAAGAGTCAGAGAGGCTAGGGCCTTTGACACAGAGCTGGCCGCGCCGACCCCCAGGTTGGACACCATTTGGCACCCTGGCAGGCGGCGGCACCCTGCACGGGTACCAGCGACGGGGCGCGCGGCCAAACCATAACAGAAGAGGCCCTTGCATCCGGGGAGCGACCTGCCTCGGCCCAGGCTGGGGCCGGGCCTGGCGCCCTGGGGCTCGGCCTCTCTCCCCGCTGAGGGCCGACGCACGGGCAGACATCCGCCAGACGGAGCCCCGACCGCTCGAGAAACATCGTGGATTCGGTCACGCTCCCATCGCCGCCTCCCTGCCGGGCCCTGCTCGCCCCCAGGCCGAAGAAACCCCCCCCACGGAACAAACGCCGAGCCAGTCCCCAAAGATACGGAACAACGCCGCGAGATCCGGGCGAGTCCAGCGGGAGAAGCTGGATGCATTCTTCTTCGCCGCGACCTGGAGCGAGGCTTGAGGGCTCTTGAGCTGGCCACGAGCGCTTTGGGCCCCCTTGGAGATGGCGCCGAGTCGACGCACGTGGTCAGAACAAACATTTGGAACCCCCCTCAGACTCCACAAGGAATGCCCCCTAGGTGTGTCTGCCCGTACGCCAAGGGTCTGGGCCGCCTCGCCCTGCCGCGCTGAAAGCGGAAGGCCCCTCCAGCAAGGGCGACATCGGAGCTGACTTACTAGAGGCACCGAATACTGCATGCATACAAAATTTGGGATCTCCGCGCGGAGTTCTGGGATCCGTGCTGCCCACCCGCGCCGGCGAGGACCAGCGCCGATCCAAGCAAGTGTATATGCATAGTGATTCTCTTTTTCGATCTAACGGGGCGCCTGATTTCCTCGCGGCAGGGGTCCATTGGAAGGGTTTTCGGGAGATTGGGAGGGTTGGTGGACCTTCCCTCCCGGAATCCCCCCTCAAAGGGGATTGGGGGGGGTTAGGGTTGGTTGGGTTAGGGTTGGTTGGTGTGTTTCCCTCCAGAGCCCCCCCTTAGGAGGAGTTGATGGAGGGTCTGCAAGGTTGGTGGGTTTTCCCCTCCTGAACCCCCCCTCGCCCCAGACCCCCCCTTCAGAGGGAGGTAGGGAGATTTCTGGATGGGGTAGGGGGGTTTTCGGTTTTCCCCCGGACCCCCCCACCGACCATGCAGTGATGAGACCCTGGGCCCCGAGGCAGACATAAACTTCTGTGGTCACCGTTGCACCTCTGCACGGCCCTTGAAATTCAGCCGTTGACCTCACTGGCTCGAGCATCGAATCAACAAACACGTCCTGGTCGGCGTGGCGGGCAAGGACATCCCCCCCCTGGCCAGCGCATGTGCCTGGCAATCGCCATCGTGCCCGAGGGCAGACAGCTTGCCATTCCCCGCGGCGTGCATAGAAGCACGCGCTGGAAATTGTCGGGGAGCCACGTCCTCCAGGCCGCCAGCCCCGAAAACCAGGTCCTACAAGTGAGCCCTCGAACTGGTCGCGACAAACAGCATGCCAAGGCGCCGGCGCAGTCAGCGAAGAGGGCGAATCTTCCCTTTGCGCTGCGAGATGCCACGTGCACCGCGAAATCGTTTCCGTCTCGCGCCGCCTGAGCGGGCGGCCCATAGGGGGGCGCGAAGCCGCAGCACGCCGCCAAGAAATCCACGCGATCACCGTGACTCGTCACAACTTCCCAAGCAGACACTCCGACCAAGAGAAGCTCGAAGCCGAACCTCAGCCCATTAAAGCCAAAGTGCCCCCACCCTCACCTCTTCAGAGGCAGAAGGGCCAGGCGCCCCTACCCGAAAGTCAACGGACGGGCCCAAAGTCCCCGAGGCCGCCAGACGAAAAAGCCGGCGCGGGTCGGGAAAAGAGGCTCCTCGCAAAGCGTTCCTGAAGAACGAGGGGCCCTCTAAAGACCCCTGGCGTCACGAGACTTTCTTGACGTGGACATCCAGAGGTCTGGACCCCGGCCAGGAACAGGCTTTACATCCTGCGTCGGTTTTCGACGGCCGGATCTCAGGGCTCGGCAAGCCCACATCCAGGGGGGGGGGGCGTGGAAGGCCGTGCCCACGCTTCCTGGAGCTCGTTACGCCGTGGGTACTCGCCTGCGGAGTCCGCGCGCGGGACCGCGCTGGGAGCAGAGCACTCGCGGACGGAAGTTCTACGTTCATATAAGCGTTTGTTTACTTACTTGTCTATCAAACCGCTCAAGGCGACTTGTTTTGCCGTTTTCGAATTTCGACCTTGGAGAATCGAAGCCGGGATCAAAAAGAAACTCGAAGACAAGGACAAAACGAAACTCGAAGACAAGGACAAGACGGAGACTGAGACGGCTGCATCGGTGGGGCTGAAAACTTACCGGAAACGCATTGAAAACGGGAACAACGGAACGGGCGGGCAAGGGGAGCAACGGGTAGTTGAAAATGGAGGGGACGTGTTGCTTCAATCCCCCGATGCAGCAGCCTCAGTCAACGGTGCTAGCCAGCAGGGGCCGCGCGTTTGGGATGTCAGCGCTTACCAAGCATAAGGTGCCTGGACGCGCTGCCCAAGCCCTGGCCCGTCGAAGACGGCAACGCCTCTTCCGCTCCGGGCGCCTCCTCCGATGGCGACTGAGGGGTGCATGGGGCACCTCGTATGAGTGCACGAGATGACCGCTCACCCCTGAGGGAGGGATAGGAACGGAAAAACAGCACGCCGAACACGAACCAAAAACGAATCGGAAACGGCAACGGCAACGGAAACAAAACTGCTGTTAACTTCCACTATAAACGACATATCACGGAACCCAAAACGGAAATAAAACGTGATAACTAAAAACGGAACAACGCCCTGCCCGATTTGAGATGCATCGAAACTTCTCTACAATCTGGGATTCTGCAAACCCCCTCCCCCTAAACGGGACCCGCCGGATCCCAGCGCCAGGAAGCTTCTGGATGCCCCTGCAGAAGGCCTCCCAAGCTTTCCGGAGCTCCTGGAAGCCCCTGGTGGGCCTAGGCCAGGCCCAAATCGATCACGAGGGCGGCCGAATGGCGCGCCGAGGGCCCCAAGAGGCCCTAGACACCAGGAGGCACGAACATCGCCCCCAACACTACCCGAAAGGCTTCCAGGCAGTCCAAGAGAGCCTCAAGATGGCCCGACAGGGTCTCAAAATGGCACGAAGAGAGCCACATGACGGCCCAGGATGGCCCCAAGACGCCCCCCGAAGCATTCCAAATCATGACCCAGCCGGTCAGGGAGACCGCGGTTCGAAACAGAGTGGCCCGAGGAATCCCCCAGAGGCCCCCAGAAGACACCCAGGAAACCTCCAGAAGGCCTCAAGAAGCCCTGAAAACCTTTTTGAGGCCCCCAAGAAACTCTCCAAGGAGGAGCCTCCACAAAAAGAGCTGAGGAGGATGGGGAAGAGTTCGCAGGGTAGGGCGAGGAAGAGGAAGAGGAACGGGAAACATGAAGGACTCATGACCAATAGCATTCGTATGACGACGACTTCGGAACTAACATCAAGAATGTATCGCTAAACGTTCGGTGCTACCTTCCTGCCCGTCTGCCTGCAGGCCAAACTTGAAGGACCAAGGTGCATGGTGCGAAGCGCCAAAGCAGTCTTGCGTGCGGCACGTAGCCATCCATGTTTGGGCTCTCTGCACTGCGCTGCTGCCCATCGAGTTCCCAGGAGGTCACCGAGAGCGGAGAACGGCGAACGGCTCCTGCAGGAGCTTCCCTGAGAGGACCCGCGAGGCAAGCATCTGCTCCTGACAGCGAGGAGGGAGGAACGACTGGAACCTGGGTCAGGACGCAGCGCAGCCCGGGCCAGGGGCGAACAGCAGCAGCAGCCTGTGCCTCCTGCCGTTCCTCCTGGGGCGGCGCACGCGTGCGAGGAGCAGCAGCCTCGGGAGGAGTGGCCGCCCCCCACCCCTCTCCAGCAAAAATGCGGAGGGCCCCTCCTGCGGGCACAGGGGCGTGATCTGATCGTCCCTGTCCTCCCTGAAGAAGGAGAAGAGGCAGATGACCACGGCTATGCAGACGCTGAGGGTGGCGAGCAGCGCCAGCATCTGGTACACCTCTGTAGAGCCAGAGGGGGGAAGAATGGCCACTCTTCATCCTCCGCCTCTTCTTTCTCTTCCTCCTCGTCCCTCTACACCCGCCGCATCCTCAGACCCATCGTCCTCGGCACCACCACAATGGCGCGGCCTCATCCTGAGCGGCTTCCGGTTCGCCGCCGTGCATGGAGGCCCGCTGCCGCCAGCGCGAGTACGCCTTTCCGATGGTCAGTGCCGTGGAGAGCTCCAACTCGGGAGCAGGGTGGAAAACCCCTTTCGGGGGGCGAGTAGTTACCCCACCTCCCCACCCTCGGGAGAGAGCTCCCAGGGGAGCGGCGGGAGCGAGGAGTGTGCCCACCGCCTGCTGCACGCGGTGTGCTCCGACATCTGTTCCACGGCATCACCGCGGTCGCGCCGCTGAGCGCTGCCTGCCCGACGTGGTCGGGCCGCGGGGTCGGGCGTCCGCCGCAACGACGATCGGTTCCATCGATGGATGCTCCCCGATACTTCTCCTCCTCCTCCCCTCTCCCCCTCCTCCAATGTTCTCCTCCTCCTCCTCGTCAATCCGTTCGGTTCCTCCCCTACCTCGTTTCCCTCCTCCACCTCCCCCATGTATTATTCCTCCTCCTTGTCCCCCCCCATGCAGCAAACTAAACATCGGAATCTGGACAGACCTCATGCTGTACAATAGTTATACTTGGCGCGCGCGTGCTGGCCCCTGGGGGTACCCGGAAGAAAAGCACCACGGGCAGGTCCCGGGCGCTGCGGGTCAGAGATGGTTATCCTCCTGGGCGCCGCCCTCGAGGCCGTCCAGAGAGCCCTAAGAAAGGCCAAGAGGCCGCCAAGAGCCCATCAAGATGATACAAGGGAGATCCGAGATGTCACAAGATTGCTCCAGAACGCATAAGATGCCCCCCAAACGGCCCAACCCGCCTCCCAAAGCACTCTCAAGAGGGCCCAAAACGGCACAATTCATTGCTTTTCCTAAGGTTTTGGAACGATTTTGGCGTTTCCACCTTTTCGGCTTCCCGACTCCCCAAGACGGCCCAAGAGGCCCCCAAAAGGGTTCCAAGACGGCTCAAGAGGGATCCGAAACGGCCCAGGAGGCTTCCAAGACGGCCCAAGAAGGCTCCAAGAACGCCCAACAAAGGTCCCAGGGGGGGAACACGAATCAACACATCGAGCTCTCGGCCCTAAGAAGGCCCCAGAAGTCCCCAAGAGGCCCATAAGAGACCCCAAGACGCCCCCAACAGGCCCCCAAGCGGCCCCAGGAGGGCCCCAAGAGGCAAAATGCGTTGCTTCTCCTCAGGTTTTGGAAAGATGTTGGCGTTTCCACCTTGTCGGCTTCCCGACACCCCAAGATGGCCCAAGAGGCCCCCAGAGCCGCCCCAAGAGGTCACAAGAGCCCCCCAAGAGGGCCCCAAGACGGCCTAAGACGGCTCCGAAACGGCTCAAGAGGCCTCCAAGACGGCCCCAAGAACGCCCCGAGTGAGGTCCCAGGGGGGGAACACGATTCAACACTTCGAGCTCTCGGCCCTAAGAAGGCCCCACGAGTCCCCAAGAGGCCCATCAGAGATCCCAAGACGCCCCCAACAGGCCCTCAGGAGGCCCCAAGAGGCCCCCAAGAGGCAAACTACGTTGGTTTGCCTACGGTGTTGGACAATGGTTGGCGTTTCCACCTTTTCGGCTTCCCGAAACCCCAAGACGGCCCAAATAGGCCCCCAAGACCGCCCCAAGAAGGCACAAGAGGCCCCCAAGAGGGCCCCAAGAGGGCACCAAGACGGCCCAAGAGGCCTCCAAGACGGCCCAAGAAGGCCCCAAGAACGCATCAAGAGAGGTCCCAGGGGGGAACACGAGTCAACTGTTCGAGCCCTCGGCCCTAAGAAGCCCCCAGGAATCCCCAGGAGACCCCTAAGAGGTCCTAGGAGGCCCCCAACGGGGCCTCAGGCGGCTTCCCAAATATCCCCCCGAGCACGCAAGCAAGTGCCAACGACCCGACGCGTGTAAGAGTCCCCACGAGGCCACCAAGAGGCTTCCCGAACGAGTCCCCACAAGCAAACTGCTTCCAGACGGCCCGCGACGCGTTCAAGACTCCCCCAACGGCCGCCAAGAACCCTTACATGCCGAACACAAAGCCTGATACAAAAAAACATGATCGACCCACGAACCCGAACGGGAATATAGAAATGTAAGGCATGGCAATGTTTTCAAAGACACCTGATTGGGTGACGGGCAAATGCAATGCTGAATGTATCGATCTTGATGTACCCTGCTGAGGGCTGTGCTGTGCTGCACCGTGCTGTATTGCGATGTGCCATGCCGCGAATGTGCTCTATAGCGTCGTGGATCGAGTCCTCCGTTGCATCCAAGTCCTGACCGAACTGATCTGGATCTTAAGCTCGAGCTGCCTGAACACGTGGTAACTGCCCTAGGGCTAATTGACAAGGGGGCATGCCAAGAGGACGCGCCGCAGAACGTCCCAAGGGACGCGCCAGGCGACGTGCCAAGGGACGTGCCATAGGGTCGCACCGCGGGACGTGCCAAGGGGACGCGCTACGGAACGTGCCAATGGATGTGCCACGGGATGTGTCAGGGGATGCCCCACGCGACGTGCCAGGGGGACTCGCCAAGGGACGCCCCACCGTGCCAAGGAACGTGCCAAGTTGCAATGCTGAGAGTATCGATCATGATGTACGGTGCCGAAATATGTGCTGTGCTGCGCCGTGCTGAACTGCGATGTGCCATGCCGCGATTGTACTCTATAGCGTCGTGGATCGAATCCCCCTTTGCATCCGAGTCCTGACCGAAATGATCTGGATCTTAAGCTCGAGCTGCCTGAACACATGGTAGCTGCCCCAGAGCTAATTGACAAGGGGGCATGCCAGGAGGACGCGCCGCGAAACGTCCCAAGGGACGCGCCAAGCGACGTGCCAGGGGACGTGCCATGGGGACGCACCGCGGGACGTGCCAAGGGGACGCGCTACGGAACGTGCTGGGGACAAGCGTCTCGCTCGAGACATCCTGTCAAAATCCTCATGCTAGACATCCGCCTGAGCGACCTGGACACGTGAAGACAAGCGTTTCGCTCAACACATCCTCAACACATTCTCATGCTAGACATCCGCCTGGGCGAACTGGACACGTGAAAACAAGTGGTTCGCTCGAGACATCCTCAACACATCTTCATGTGAGACGTCCGCCTGGGTGACCTGGGTACGTGAAAACAAGTGGTTCGCTCGAGACGTGTTCAACACCTCATCATTCTAGACATCCGCCTCGGCGACCTGCACAGGTGAAAGCAAACGTCTCGCTCGAGACTTCCTCAACACATCTTCATGTTAGACATCCGCCTGGGCGACCTGGACACGTGAAAACAAGCGTATCTCTCGAGACGTTCTCAACACATCCTCATGCTAGGCATCCGCCTGGGCAAACTGGACACGTGCAAACAAGTATCTCGATCAAGACTTCCTCAACACATCCTCATGCTAGACATCCGCCTGGGCGACGAGGACGCGTGAAACCAAGCGTCTCGCTCGAGACATCCTCAACAAAACCTGGCGCTAGACCTCTGCCTGGGCAACATGGAGGCGTGAAACCAAGCGTCTCGCTCAGACATCCTCAAGACCTGCGCACGTCAAAACAAGCGTTTCACTTGAGAGATCCTCTGAATTCTGGTCCCTGGGAGAGGGCAATCTATTCCACAAAACAATCGTTTCGCTCAAGACATCCTCAACAAATTCTGAAAACAAACAAGCGTGTCGCTCGAAACATCCTCAAAAATAATCCCGCCGGCCCCAGGCGACCTGGTTATTTATCACAAAATAATTCCGCCGGCCCTACAGCCGTCAATTCTGTGGGTACACCTTAAAAAAAACCCTGGGCCCGCGCCCTTTCCGGGAACAACCGCCGCCCCTGCAGCTCCGCACTGCGAAAGACCACTCGGTCAGTCGACAACGGCACGCAATGATGGGCCGGCGGATTGAGCGAAGCGACTCAATAAGGTGTTTGTTCCCGGGGGGTGCATTTCAACTTGCAATTCGATATTCAATTCGGCTTGCATGTGGATGGGCACGCAGACTTGTATCACAAGAACAAAAATGTGCATCACGTCGATTTGCATTTTGGCTGTGTTACCATGTCTGGTTCGATGTTTATTGTAATGCGCATTGCTGCGCATTCTGTCTGAAAACATATTCGCAGGTCGGTATGGGTTGCGACTTGACAGGTCATGGCAATCGTGCTTGCATATCGATGTCCGTCTCAATTGCTGCTGGGTGTTAACAAGATTTGTAGGAGTGAGGAGGCCGCACTGTCATTCATCGTCCCTGGGTGAGTGGCTGAAGTGTAGTTCCGCTGCTCGGATTGTTGCTGCTGGTGTTGATGTTGTTGCGTTGCGTTATTTATTTGGTTTGAACTTCTGAAAGATAAGTGTTGTTGACCCTCCTGGCACAATACCCGAAGTGGAGTGTCCCCCCACCCAAGCTCGCACCCTGCTTTCTGTCAGGGGGAATATTGAAGCTAAGACTGTGTTGCTGGCCTCCGGTTTATAAGAACACAGGCTCCCGCCTGATACTTCGTCACATGCTATTGGAAATCGCGCTCTCGTGCGGGACTTCCCCACAATGTACACAGGAATCGCGCTGTCGCATGGCACTCCCTTGCAACATGATCGACCCACGAACCCAGAAAGGAATATAGAAATGTAAGGCATGGCAACGATTCAAAGACACCTGATTGGGTGACGGGCAAATGCAATGCTGAGTGTATCAATCTTGATGTACCCTGCCGAGGGCTGTGCTGTGCTGCCCGTGCTGATCTGCGGTGTGCCATGCCGCGATTGTGCTCTATAGCGTCGTGGATCGAGTCCTCCTTTGCATCCGAGTCCTGACCGAAATGATCTGGATCTTAAGCTCGAGCTGCCTGAACACGTGGTAGCTGCCCCAGAGCTAATTGACAGGGGGACATGCCAGGAGGACGCGCCGCGGAACGTCCCAAGGGACGCGCCAGGCGACGTGCCA